AAAAAAAAAATGTTTATGGGCATAATGCGTTTTGAAAAGTTACTCCTCATTTGTAAACCGAGCTACATGGCCCATAGTCCTAATTAAATCTAATCTAATCTAAACCGAGCTAAACATTTGTGTACCCTTTTTATTAAACAAAATTAACGAATTTTCAATATTCTTTTTAAAATATGCCGTTCCAATATTCAACCTCTGGTTATTACGAAAACTGTCTATAATAGAAAAAACTACTTTATCTGTCTAATTTGAAATGTGAAAAAACCTGTTAAGCAAACTCCCAGTTACACCTTATCTAAAAGTGATTATATTAGTTGTAAAAACTAGGCAAAGTTTAATCAAAGGTAATACCACGAGTCCTCAAAATTTTATCGATTACATTTTTAGTTTCAACGAGAACGAAAATGTCTACGAACCGTGCGTTTATACAGCCTGTTTTAGTTTTAAGCATTAACATAGACATTAACATAAAAGTTAAATTCAATGCATTTCAATGTACCTGTTTATACAGAATATAAATATTAACATATAGTGCAGATAAATAAAATCCAACTTAAATTTATATCGAAAATACAATTGCGCATGTGTGTTAAAGTGAGGTTAAGCTCATGATAAAAAAAACAGAGGTATGATACTTAGCCGACGAAATATCGTTGATTTCGCGTATGACGTATTATGGTGTGGAATATGGTTATCTGATTGGCCATGAGCCGATTAAAATTTATTTTCGCGCGTTGTTTTCGATTAGTTGATACATCAAATTCATAAAAACCACGCCTTCCACCACATTATGTCACCGTTACGTATATTATCAATCTGCGTAATATACCACTGCTACAGTCATAATTTTAAAATTTCGTACTTTTAAACTCTTTCTACATCTTCTTATTATTAATAATTGTGAGATAGCAGAGCAATTTCAGAAACAGATACCTTTTTAATGATTTGTCAAATCTTATGTTAAAGCTTAAATTTTCTGTATAAACGGTTTTGTTTTAAAATCCTTAAATTTATTTTTATGTTAATGTCAATGTTAATGCTTAAAACAAAATCAGGCTGATCAAACACACTTTTAGGGTTCTGTTTTATGAGAGAAAAGCAATTTTAAAATAACCAAACATAATTTTTAAGAAGTCTCCTTTAAAAAACATGTAGAAATGGCAATAGACAATGTATATACACGATCTGTTAATCTATAGTAAACTTCTTGAAGTCTCTATCTCTCTTTTCTCACGAAAATATAAATACAGGACCTCGGAAATAGATAAACTTGAAGCTAACATCTGGTTATTATCCTTGCAGGCATTCAGTGGAATGTTTTGGATCAGTCTGGCTTCACACATTTTTCATCAACGTCCGCTGTCATGTCCAATACCGTTGGTACACAATTCACCCACAATACCGATACTGTCAACCCCATCTCCCCCACAAATAACATCCTTATTCATACAAACCCAGCCCCAGAAACCTACCAAAATCATAAGAGAAAGCGAAGTTTCAATCCCCAAGGAGATGAGAACTTCCTAAGAGCCTTAGAAGCTGTCAGGTTTGGGGGCATAGGATTTTGCAAGGCCGCTAGGATGTACGGAGTGAATAATAGAACACTTTGGTTAGAGTATAAGAAGCGCGGGTACCCGAATTTTAGGTTGAGCATTAAGAATCGCAATCAAATTCAAAATCAGTTGCAAGTGAAGCCCAAAGTTGAAAATATCGTGACAAGTGATCAACATCCTATTGCTATTATTAGTAGTGCTGTGTTTGACGGAAAACAGGTTGACTTTAAACACATTACGCAAAGGCCTAAATATTACGATGGCGGAGAAAATTCAGCTGAGACTATAAATTTTCAAAGTATTAATTTAGAACAAATGTAAAGTGTATTGTTCGAGAAAACTGTTGTTTAGAATCGTTTGAGTAGTAGGTATATGAAGTTGACGTCCTTATTTTGACTGTCTAACTCAGCGAGTCATAATACATCCTAATACATTCATAAAATAACTTGGTTGGAGGTTTATGATCGATGACACATCGTTGGTACACAAGAATAATGACAAAATTCAAAAACCTAGATTTATCGTTTATATTCAAATAATAACAAGTTTGCTTTGATAACATTAAGAAAAAACGATCTTTCAGTAAAGTGTATTTCACACCATATTGATAATGACCTATTCAACAATAGAGCCAGCCCTAATTTGATTTGTGTTGCCGTTGAAAATAATGTTATTAGTTTATCTTATAAAATTTGCATATTTTCTTCTATGTCTCTCTAGCCGAAAATTAGTGTTTACCTTATATTCAAACAAGTTTGCTTGAAAAAATCCAAAAATATTATATTTGCATCCCTCTTTTAATTATGACGATCTTTCACACCATATTAATAATGACCTTTTCAAGAATGGAGCCCTAATTTGACTTGTGTCACTGTTGAAAGTAATGTCCTTAATTTATTTTTAATAAAACTGGCATATTTTGATTTAAGTCACTCTAGCCGAAAATTGACGATCTTGTCTCACTGACTGTCGGAGCACAACTAGATTTGTGTTCCTTTTAAAAGTAGCAATATGTCGATCTATTACATAAAAATATGCCGTTTTGCTATACATTTTTACAATAAGCTAGAAAATTGAAGTTTTTGAGTTCCGTCACTATTCTTGTGCACCTACGATATGATGTTAATAGGCGTTAGGTGTTTTAAAATGCTAAGAACTCTATTCAGCAGACCAGAGTGATAGCAGAAGTAGAATAATTTTTATTTTGCACATTTTGTAGAAGCCGAAATAAATATGTCTACTCAAATTCATTAACTGTTACTAACGGTTACAACCAATATAACTAACTGATTTATTTTAAAAATAAATGTTTTTTGAATTGCCAATAGCATTAACGTAATTTTTGCTATAACTTCATATTTTCAGTTTACGATTCTGCTATTGCTCCATGTCCAGTTAATAATGGTTTTTACTTTATATTCTAGTTTAATTTTGTATTATCATGTTAAAAGCAATTTTGAATCCCAAAAGAAACTTACCATTTTAAAATGTCGAAGGAAAAAATAACAAAAATAATTTTATTAAATAGGAAATAATTCCAACTAGGGGTGGGTAAAATAATCGATTATCAATCGATTAGTTGATTTTTAGTTGAAAATCGATAATCGATTATTTCAATTAATCGAAAAGAATTGATTATTTAATTTGATAATCGCTCAGTCCTAGTTCCAACTCAGATGTGACTAAGACGTAAAATAAAATAGAAATAAATCTTATACGAGCGACCGTTTCCCTCAGGAAAACAATGCCTCCTTTGTTTTTGAACCAGGTACTGCGAGCCAGCTTTGATTTTTCTTACTAAGTGCAGATGGCGTTACTTTTTTACTTTACTAGGCGAATGAATTTAAAACATTTGCATATTCCATTAGAGACTGGAATCGAGAATGTCTATTTTTTGCTGATGAGTCCAAATAAGGACGAAACCGGTTCAAGACAGACTAGCCTCCTTAGTAAGCAAAATCAAATTAAAAATTATTTCCTATCTGTTGTTTTCCTTTGGATATAATTCAATGCCTGTTACGGTATTACTAAAAGGAGTAGTTGTTTTCCTCGTATTATATGATACTGCCTTTGAGATTATTTATTTTAAATAACTTTCTCCTTACAGATTTTATTGAAGATTTTGAATGACAGTTTTGTAATATTATGGAAAAAATTTATAAAAATTTTAACTGATTTCAGACTAAATTTAAGTCTATTTTTATACATTTTAGGAATTGTAATCACTAATGAAAAATGACGTCGATATATTGTATTAATAAATGTATGGTTTGTAAATATATTTGTCTTTCTACAATTTTTAAATATCAAAATTAAAACGGACCACTGTGTCCCGAAACCCAGATCAAAGTAACGTTGATCCAAGCACCGAGACATTCAAGGGTATTTATACAGTTCCAACCAGCTTTGAGTCAACTTTATTGGAGTTCAGGGCGATAAGGGCTGCCTGGCTATCTGAACAGATCTTTATAGTCTTGTTTACGGGGAGAAAATTAATCAATTGTCTCGCTCCCAATTCTATAGCAATCATTTTTGCTTGGAAGATCGTGGCCAGAGAGCCTAGGTTTATTGATATGTCAACTCTAGGCCTCTGGCCGAAAACTCCCGCTCCTACTCCTTTTTCAGTTTTGGAGCCGTCTGTGTACAACGCATAGTCTGCCTGGAAGAGGGTTTTTCCCCTCTGCTCCATGCGTCTCTCTCTGGAATGAGGACGGTGTATAGCTTTTCTATGTGCTGTCGGGGAACTAGTGAGTCCGAGACCATGCCGAGGATGAGGTGGATATTAATCTTACTCATCAGCCCCGTCTTGTCCCATCGCAGTTCTTCTTAGCATTGGCTACCCACCTTCAGGAGTCTGTAGGGGGCCATCCTGGCCTCCCTTTCCAGCAAAATGTGGAGAGGGGTTAGGTCCAGCGTGGTCTCCATGGGTTCCGTAGGTGTGGTTGACATTGCTCCAGTTATGGCTAGGCACGCAAGCCGCTGTATTCCAGCCAGCTTTGCTCTGGCCGTCCGTTGAAGTCCCTTGTCCCACCAGACGACCGAGCCGTACGTAACCATGGGTTTTACCACTGTTTGGTAAATCCAGTAGATCAGATGAGGACTGATCCCCCATGCTTTGCCGCATATCCTTCTAAGGGTCCAGAGGGATAATCTGGCTTTTTTAATAGTTTTATCCAATTGGGGGTTCCAGGTAAGTTTCTTATTTAGAGTGATCCCCAGATATTTCATCTCCTCCGCAAAAGGAATGGTTTCCCCAGCCACGGTAGATTGTCGAAGCTTGTCGAGCTTTCTTCTCTTGGTAAAGGGGACAATAACAGTTTTGCGGAGGTTAACAGACATCTGCTCCCTCTCGCACCATCTGTTGATTGTATTAAAGGCTTGTTGAAGGATGTTGGTATTTAGTCTATTATAATAAATTTTTGATGAGCAAGTGTCAATTTTTTTCAGTAACTTACTCCCCTCGCTCATCTCAATCGCCTCCACCCCAAGAAATCCAACACATGGGTCCAAAAAGGGGGCGTTTCCTAATGCGACAATCCCGGATAAAACGAGAACCGGATCTGTGCCAAGAAGCGGAGGTAGAACCCGCCGGATTATCTCAGTACCTGACAGTTCCAACGCCTTTAAGGATAGAGAGACAATGTTCGGAACCCATACCTTCTATTTCTACATCTCCAGATAATTTGCTTCACGTTCCCGAACATGTTTTAGTCAAACAACATTCGCATCCTATATTGCCCAGTAAATCAACAGAGGTAAGTTCGTTTAAATTTTTAAGAGAGTTCACGATGCCATTTTAAAGTTTCTGAATCAAAGCCCATTTTGCGAAAAAAATACTTTAGGTGTGGAACACTTGGATGATTCTACACAAGGTGTTTTATGGATTTCGTATACATTTTTATTTGGCCAGAATTCAACAAGGTGTTAAAAAAAAGAATTATGGTTTCTATAGCATTATATTATACCGAGTAGTTATTAAGATTTAACAAATGAAATCCATCAAACAGTCTGTACACAGTGCTACTTATCGTAAACATCTTTATCAAGGGCAGCGGTAGTTTGTTGATGTAATTTTTATAGGATTGAAATCTTTGGATGAATTTATTGGGAAAGGAAGCTGTACAGATAAAGGTTTGTTCGGATTTCTTTAAAACTTGATAAAAACCGTTCGAGAAACAATGGAACAGTTACATTCCAAATTATTGGTCACGTACAAGCATTAAATTGTCTACTGGTCAACTAGTTGCCTCTGATAGTTCTCAATATATTTTTGAAGAATCCGAACAGACCTTTAGTAACTGTTGGCACAAACGAACAGTCATTTTAAATTGCCACTCAAGTTTTTATGCAGCCGCAGCCCGCTCTAATATAGATTTCTTTTATAAATCTAATTCAATAAACATAATTTTTATTTTTAGAGTAGTACAAGATCAAGTCATTGTCCCGTTATCAGACATGGGCCGGCATTAGGATGCAATTTTTGTTGGAACACAGTGGATACACATGGTAGAATTCTCAGAAGAAAAACCAAGTACCATTGTCCAGAGTGTGAAACGAATCTATGTATAGTACCGTGTTTCCAGGAATATCACAAAACTCAAGCAACTGGGGATCCCCCTAACCCGAATCCGATATTACCCTCCCCTACTGCTAAGGTGTATCCCAAGAGCATGTAAATTAAATTATTGTTGTGTTATTATATATAATAAATATTTATGTACATGACGTGTTTTAATTGTTTTCCTAGTTACTGTCTTGTCTAATATTTTCAATGGTATGTTTAATATGGAATATTTTTTTGAAATGTAGGTCTCGATGACGTTTCGAGAGTGTAAAAGAATGACTTTTATTGTCCAAAAATTGGGACTGGCTTTTAGTGATTTTACTGATGGAAAATATTTTCAAGTTACTATGATTAATGCTCTAAAATGGTATTAGAGCTGTCACAATTACCGTTGCAAAGTAATTGAAGTACCAATTACTAGACAACCAAAAAACTATTCAAATTACTAGTTACTTTAGTTTTTCAAAAGTGCTTGCAATTATAAATTACTCATAAAAGGTATTGAAAATGTTCAATAAATAACCAAAAAATACATTTTTCTTGTCTTGCAAGATGTCTAGAGCACGAGCTAAAGGTCTTAAAATTACACAATATATACCCAAGTAACACAAAGTTATAAAATATTTGTATAATTGATTAAAACGTTACAAAACACGTGTAAACTACACGTTAAATAACTTAAATTTTTAAAACTGATATACAACTTTTTAATAGTGTAGAAACTAATAGTATGACGTTTTTGTTAGAATTTGTTGAGAAATATTTAACTAGAGTTGTAGCAACGTTAATTTATAAGAAACGTATAACTAAATTAAGTTGTTTTAAAATGTACAAAAGTCCTCGACTTATTTTTGGTAAAACGAGTAGGTAGAGCATTCTTATATAATCAGATCCATTTTTTGTGAACATTTCTAAAAAAAAGGGCCTCAACCATTTTTGTCACAATTTTTAAAAAAAATAAAAAGGTCCTCCACTTATATTTCGAACAAACGAGGGTCTTTTACCTGGTCTATTTTTGTATAAATCCGATTCCTCTGCGGCTTTTAAAAAGCGTGGAATTTGCAAAAAAAAGCGTGACGTCTGGCAACCCTAACAATATATATATAGTTGTTATAACGTTTCTATAACTATAGAAGTTGTATAGTGGTTAAATGTGTATATTATATTTTATTCCTAGAATGTATTATTATCTTTTTGAGGTTAGGAATTAGGAATAACTGCTTTATAAATTTTAGAAGAGTATTATCATGTATTCGAAAAAGAGGTGGCTCTTATAGATATAAAAAAAAAACTATTTAAATTGGAAATCAAAGTACTTCAAGATATAAACATTTTTGATAACATTATAAACCAGCGTTGCCAGAGCTGGTACTTTACTTTAGAAATTTTTATTTATAATTAATAATAGTATCTACATGTCAAATCAACTACCGAGTCCTTAGACTTTTCGTGCAGGTTAAGAACCAAGGTGGATAAATCCGCCCACAATAATTCGTTCGACTCAAATGTTTGTGAAATATATCAGCCCTCACTCCTTACCTGTTCGGTATTATTAAGGGATTGTGGTTTTATTTGGAAATCGGTAATGGGAAATGGTGATAGGATATGTCGTGTTTTAGTTATGGCTTTTGTCCCCTGAAAAAGCTAGAAAAAACAGGGTTGTCCTTGTGCCCGGGCTGGTACAAATATACAGATCTGGTACATTTTGAGACCGTTTGTACAGAAGTACATTTTTAATATTTCTGGTACATTTTGTACAATTTTAAATATTGATCTGACGACACGAATTTTTCAAAATTACTATTTACCATAAATATCGATAAATTTCAAAATGTTTATAATTCAGTAAAAAAAGAAAAATAAGTATTTTACTGTAAAAAATAGATAGGTTCGTATTATTATTTGTTAAGGTTGTTAGGTCTGCAGCAAATTTTATATATTAAAACTATGTAATTAACAGGTTTGTAATAAGAAAAGCAAAAGAGGCAGATCCGAGGCTTAGTATTTTCAGCTTTCTACTTCATCAGGTTTATCTAGACTAGACCGTCTGACAATATATAATAAATTCCGACACAATTACTAGTTTCTAGTATTCCAGATTCTCAAGTAGTGAAAAATATAAATTGTGGGAGAACAAAGACTACCCAAATAATTAAAATATTAGAAACTGAGGCTGAAAATAAACTTGTACAACAACTAAATAGTAGATGAAACAACAGACATATCTACAAAAAAATGTTTAGCAATTTTGTGCCGTTCTGTATATATGAACCAAAGTTCCATTAAAGACCAGTTATTGTCGCTGGTAGAAGTAAAGAATTGCTATGCAGATGGTCTCACTAAAGCCATTTTAGATTTACTGGACAAATCTGAAATTTATTACCATAATGTTATTGGTTTCGGTGCAGATAACGCTTCTGTTATGATGGGGCAGATGGTGGGGGGGGGGGGGGGGGGGCGTACACGCAAAACTTAAAGAAAAAGTATTTTAAATATGTTTGTTGTTGGTCAGAAGCGACAACAAAATACCTTCTATAGTAGAGGAGTTTGTCCAAGACATATACAACTATTTAATGAAAAGTCCAAAAAGACCGTTTATAAAGAATTTCAAGAATTTATTGAAACGAAACCCCACAAATTGTTAAGAATAAGTAAAACAAGATGGCCTTCATTAGAGGTAAGGTACAAGTGTGAATATATAATATAAAAAAATGTTTCGAGTATTCTCTTAATCATTTATAGAGGTGCTACAATAGGTTGTACAAGATAACCGGAAAAAGCCTGTAATAACTAGATAGGAAAAATCATGTGTTGAAAATATAGAACATTTAATTTTGCCTAAAAATCTCTGTGTAAGTTCGAATGGCCAAATATTCATTGCCAACGAAAATACTGGAAAATTAAAATTTTAGACTTTACCTGCAATTTTTCCATTACGGTCCGTTTTAGAGAAATCATGTATAAATCATAACTTACAGAGATCGCTATCCCAAACAACTTTTAGTTTAACAATTTTCTTAAAATCAGAATTATGCACATTTTGTCAAATTCCTCAATTACGGACCATTTTAGGAAAATTTTGTATTTAACAAAAATTATAGAAAATGATATTGTAAGTAACTTTTATTTAAAGCATTTTCTTCTCCAAACATAAATAACAGATATATTCTATAAAACATAAAAATGACCCCCTATATGAAGTACCCCCCCCCCCCCAGATGTTCCTCTGACTCCACCCAAAATCTAATCAGTTCACCACAGGCCGAAATAAACCTTAAATTTAAAATTTGATGATTTTCTTTGTATCCGTTCATGAGTTACCGTGGATAAAATGGATATCCTTTATGAGGAACTAAAAAAAGTACTTCCATAGTAAAGCTAAGTCCACATAAACGAGAATTTGTGGAAAAAAATTGTCTATTTTTCTTTTCAATGAAATTTTCGCAATTTTTCAATGAAATTTATTTCATCGATCTCTATGAGTAGGGATGGGCGAAATGAACTGCATGGAAAAATAACAAAGTCGCGTCCATAACAACTTAGTTTAATAATGGTATTTAGAATTACATGTAGTTTGCCGAATTTATTAATAAACAATTAGTTTACATACATATTTCAAATTTCGTTTTTGTACAATCGTTTAAAATCTGGTACAATTTTGTCCTGGGATCTGTACAATTTTTTGAAGGCCTTTGGCAACACTTATAAACACAGATCCGCAGTACCTTCCTATCTACCTACGTACTTACCTACGTACTTACCTACCTACCTACGTACCTACCTACCTACCTACCTACCTACCTACCTATACAATAAAAAAACCATCTGTTGCTTTCAACAGTAATATTCGGAATTGTGCTTGCAATAATTTCTAGGATAGTTATAAAAAGAAACAACTAATAAAGACCACGATATGTCATTCACCCGGATAGTCCAAGAAATATTGCAATTTGTTGTGCATGCGATTATAGACCTTATTATCATAAGACAATCGTTTATGTAAACAAGGCGTATCTAATGGATATTCAAACGCAGCACTTGATTTGCCATAAAGAAATTAGGATTACAAAAATTCTAATATCAGTCTCAAAAAATGTTAGTAAATTTCGATCTTTTTTTAATTAGGTAGGTAATTAAGAACTACCCAATCAACTATTTTCTTGTGAATAAAATTTATCTCTTATAGGATAAATTATTATTAAATAAAGTTTTGGCAATAGGTACGTCATAATTTGTATCCATTTTTATTGGCAGAATCAATTTTTCCATAAAATCTAGGAATCAAAAAATTGATCTCCTAGCAACGGGTTATTGATTGTTGGTCTTTCTGAGAAAATAAGGTAGACATGTTGGTTTTTTGGAAGATAAAAAAGAAAAATTCAATTTTAAAAAGTTACAAAGGGATTAAAATCTCATTACATAATAAAAAAAGGTAATTTATAAACATTGTAAATAAACAACATAACCTTTAAATAGGAAAATGTATTATTTATAATTAAAATTAAAGTGAAGTACATATTATACCAGTGAAATGAAATCCTCAAATTCCTGTACAATTGAGGGTAGATGAACCGCTGAATCTCGGTGAGTGATTTTTCCAATTTGTTTTGTCACAACATGCGACCAGGGCACCTATCTATTATTAAATCTCAGAGAGTAAAAATTTTGACAAAAATACAAATTTTGTGCGTTTCAGATAAAGGGGAAAAGCCGGTTTTCTATTCCCAAGAATTCAAGAATGAAAATGAAAAAGGACATTACTGGAATTGTTCATGCACTCGGACTTTAAAACCAGGTAAAGATCTATTCAATTGCACAAATTAGTGTATTTTTAAAAACTGCTAATAAAAGTGATTTGGCTATTAGAATATTTTATACACTGTTTTTCAATTTTTAAAGCCATTTACAAACTATAGATAAATTAATTTATCTATCTTGCGAACTTTTACGTATAATAGTCACTTAGTCAGTAACTGACAGCACATAGTCATAGTGCCAATCAACATTACTGAACATTGAAAGGAACTAATAGAAACAGGACCGGACTTAAAATTATCATTTAATCTTAAACCAAAGTATTTTTATATTTATATATTTTATAGTTTAGTATAAGAATTAGTAGGGTAATTTAAAAATTAGAAATATAATGATTCATTGA